GGCGCCGAGCCAGCAAACATAGTTTTTGATAACTGTCATTGGTTCTTGAACCTTCTTTAGTAAAAATTTTTTTTTTAAAGTCACGTGTCTACTATGTTACCCAAGCTGACATCAAACTCCTGATTTCAAGCAATCTTCCTCCCTAAGCCTCCCAAGTAGCTGGACTACAGTATTTTTTTGAAGTATATATGTTGTGTGGTATGTGTTCACACATGTCTATAGAAATGGAGAAAGTCTAATTTGAGTTGCTGTTTTCAGCAGTGCTAGTATTAGAGGATGGTAAATGATAACATAAATTTTTATTTGAATTTATGCAGAATTTCTTGACTTATTACGTAAATGATCAGTTGACTTCTCTGTCAGTTCCACAAGTACTTGATTGCTTAAGATTTCTTTTAGGTTTAAATATCTGATTCCTATTTTGTTTCTGCGCAAACACATGGCCTATGGTAATGTCACCAAACAGGAATTTTTTTCTTTTTTTGCCATCAAATACCTCAGAATTACTAAGTAAAGTTTTTTTTTATTTTTATTTTGAGACAGTCTTACTTTGTCACCCTCAGTAGAGTACAGTGGCATCATAGCTCACTCACAGCAACCTCTGACTCTTGGGCTCACATGATTCTCTTCCCTTAGCCTCCCAAGTAGCTGGGACTACAGGTGCCTGCCATAACACCTGGCTATTTTTCAGAGATGGAGTCTCATTCTTGCTCAGGCTGGTCTCAAACCTGTAAGCTTAGGTAATCCGTCTGTTCTGCCTCCCAGAGTGCTAGGATTATAGGCCTGAGCCACTGTGCCTGCCCCTAAGTAAAGTTTGTATAAGAAAAACTTATGGTATGTGGTGCTTGTTTTGAGTGCCTTAAACATTCAATTTACCTTCTTTTAAAGTTACAGAGGGGCTGGTGCTGTGGCTCACATCTGTAATCCTAGCACTCTGGGAGATTGAGGTGGGTGGATTGCTTGTGCTCACAGGTTACCCTGAGCCAGAGTGAGACCTTATCTCTAAAAATAGCTGGGCGTTGTGGTGGGTGCCTGTAGTCCCAGCTACTTGGGAGGCTGAGGCATGAGAATCACTTGAGCCCAAGAGTTGGAGGTTGCTGTGAGTTATGCCACGGCACTCTACCAAGGGCGACAAAGTGAGACTCTTGTCTCCAAAAAATAAATAAATAAAAATAAAGCTAAAGAAGGAGAGTGTGGGTGTGTCACTTTTTTTCTGTTGATTCCTATCTTAAATATACATTAGTATTCCTTAGTTTCTTAGCTTGGCAGATGAAGATTTAAAAAATTGCTTCAGGCCAGCTGTGGTGGCTCATTCCTGTAATCCTAGCACTCTGGGAGGCTGAGGCAGGCTGATTGCTTGAGCTCAGGAGTTCAAGACCAGCCTAAGAGCAAGACCCCCTATCTTTACTAAAAATAAAAAAACTGAGGCGAGATCGCTTGAGCCCAAGAGTTTGAGGTTGCTGTTAGCTATGATGGCTGATGCTGGGAGACAGACAGCTTAAAAAAAAAACAAAAAATCCGGCTCGGCTCCTAAGGTGGCAAGTTCAAATCCAGCCCGGGCCTGCCAAGCAACAATGATGGCTGCAACCAAAAAATAGCCAGGCGTTGTGGTGGGTGCCTATGGTCTCAGCTAGGCAGGAGACTTGCTTGAGCCCAGGGGTTGGTTAGCTGCGATGCCACGGCACTCTACCCAGGGGGACAGCTTGAGGCTCTGTCTCAGAAAAGAAAAAAAAAAACAAAAATCCAGTGGTTATCTTGAATCTCTATTATCCTAGAGATATTAGGGTGGAAAGGCTGTTTTGAAAACCTCTTGGCTGCTTAGTCAAATTACTTGAGTTGATGTTGAAATTTATTTTACACATAAGTAGTAGTTTGTTTCTCTAATAACACAGAGATGGAATACTTTGGTTCTCATCAAAGAGATGATTGTGAAGTATTGGTTCTGTTAAACACAATTGAAAATATTGGAGCCCTTAGACCAGTGTTTCTCAACCTTCCTAATGCTGGGACCCTTTAATATAGTTCCTCATGTTGTGGTGACTCCCACCATAAAATTATTTTTGTTGCTACTTCATAACTGTAATTTTGCTACTGTTACAAATCATAATGTAAACATCTGATATGCAGGATGTATTTTCATTGTTACAAAGGGTCATGACCCACAGGTTCAGAACCACTGCCTTAGTTTCTTTGTTTTTTTAGAGATAGAGTCTCACTTTGTCAACCTCAGTAGAGTGCTGTGATGTCACAGCTCACAGCAACCTCCAGCTCTTGGGCTTAAGCGATTCTCTTGCCTCAGCCTCCCTAGTAGCTGGAACTGTAGGTGTCTGCCATAACAGCCGGCTGTTTTTTTGTTGCAGTTTGGCCGGGGCAGAGTTCGAACCCTCCGCCCTCGTATATGGGGTTGGTTCCCTACTCACTGAGCCATAGGCGCTGCCCCTGCCTTAGTTTCTTATGCTTCT